TCACAGCATTGTAAGAGGGGGACAGTTGAACCTGGAGGCTCCGCCCCTGTTTAATGGTGGACAGTTTCTTTTCACAAAGATGGCCTCCTTTACTCCTCTCTCAAACCATCGTTCCTCTCTGTCCAGGATGTGAACATCTTCATCACTGAAAGAGTGACCTCTGACCTGGAGATGAGTGTAGACCTCAGAATCCTGGTCTGATGATGTTGATCTTCTGTGCTGGTCCATCCTTTTGGCCAGTGGCTGTTTAGTTTCCCCGATGTAAGACTGATCACCCTCCTGACACTGAACAACATACACAACATTACTCTGTTTGTGCCAGGGGACTGGATCTTTGGGATGAACCAGTCTTTGCCGTAATGTATTTTGGGGTTTAAAAGCCCAACTAGAGCGTTTATCAACGCTCTAGTTATTTGAGTTTTTACATTTTAAGGCTTTACAATAAATCTTTCCCACACTCTTGCAATGTTTTGAACTCTTAAACCTACGACATTTTAACAACATGCGTATTTGTACTGCACAGTACTGCAAAGTTTGACTCACCAGCTCTGCAGAGCAGCAGCTTGGTTCCAGTCCGGCTCGGTTCTGGTTTTGCAGACCTGCTCTGCAGCAACGAAGCCCCCGCCCCATCCAGTTTGATGTGTGGATCATTGACCTTCAGGAAGCTTCAGGATTAGTTGAGACTCTCCTGCCAGTTCTGTGACGTAGATCGATCGTTAATTCTGACTTTGTTGCAAAACTTTCCCTCCGTTTCAGCAGAAAGCAGCAGCTGGAAGCACTGTTGGCTTCTGGGTAGTGTAGTTCTTTGACTGGCGCTACAGTGTGAAAGAAAACTACAAAATGGCGGTGCCTGTCCAAAGTATTTTCTTCGTTAACTTTTTAATCCCATGATATCCCGATCACGTGAGTAATATTAAAGTTGACAATCGTTGAAAAACACGAATGCGCAAGTCCGCCAAAGTCGAACTGCGAAGTAGCGATTGACAACTGTATACCTTAACTTCCCATCTGTAGAGCGCACTCCAGTATAAGCTTCACACACTAAATTTAAAGTAAAACACAATTTTGTACATAAATAAGCTGTGCTGGAGTAAATGTCGCAGGTGTCCACATCGTAATATCAGAAACAACACAGCTCCTGGGAGGATGTGCAGCTCTTGTTGTAGTACAAGAATCAACCACCAGCTGGCGTGTCATTGACTTTGATTTACCTTCAAAACACACACACACACACACACACACACACACACACACACATACACACACAGACTGCTGATCCCACAGGTCTTCATGATGACATCCTCTGACTCAAGCTTTCTCTACTGAATGAACACAAACTAGAGTAAGTAGAACAGACTACCGGTAATCACCGGAGAGACCAGTGCCAAACTCCTACAGTAACTGAAATCACGGTCCTTAGCAGCTAACAAGATGAATCACGCCCCATGGGCAGAAAACTGGTGAGCAAGTAAATGTCAACGGTTAGGAGAGTCATGGTCCTTGGACTGACCCGCGGGTTGTTTCAGGGAAGGAGGCAAGTCTGTCGGAGCTGCAGCTTCCACACGCTTCATACTTCACTTATAGCACTGTTTTAAAAGGTGACAAAGATTCGTAGTTCTGACTGTTTTTCGGGACTTGTTGTCAGCATTGTCTACAGAAAACATTTTTCTGCTGCTCATCTGACAATTTAAATCCAAACCATCTCCAAATAACAGTCAATGTTTTACTTCTTGCTCAGCTGCTCGTCCATATCCTCTCCTGTGTGTAAACTCCCGCCCACCTGGAGAAGCAGGAAGCAGGGGAGCATGTGCGGGTGAGGGGAGTGAGGGAGAAGGAGGGGCCATGTGCAGTTGGTGCAGACAGGAGAAAAAGAACTACATGAATTTTCAAGTTTAATTATGCTCGATGGTTGCCATAGAGCCATTTTAACCATCGTAAATTTAAAATCTCTCCATACATCGAGTACATTCGATATATCGCCCAGTCTCCACTCGATATATCGCCCGGTCTCCACTCGATATATCGCCCGGTCTCTACTCGATATATCGCCCAGTCTCCACTCGATATATCGCCCAGTCTCCA